CAAAAACTGTAAAAATTAAAGCTAATTACTATGTGGAGGATATTTTGAAACCATATTTGGAACGTGAAATTCCAAAGCTGTATCCTGGAGAAGAAGCCAAAGTGACGCTTCACCATGACAAAGCGGCTAGTCACACAACTAGATATACAACCGCTTATCTCCAGAAGTTTCAGGCTGGTGGTTGATCGAACCACATTCCTGCAGAGGACATGCCCACCAAAGCACCTGACATCAGCCTCGTGGATTTCTTTGGATTTGGCTTCCTAAAGCAACGTCTTTTTCTTCGTAAGGCTACAACATTAGATGATATTTGGAAAGTAATTCAACAGTAGTGGCCATCAGTATCAGTCGAAACTTGCGAGGTCATCGAATCGCGAAAACAGCAAGGTTGTGCTGTGAGCCAACGAAATGGAATACACATTAAGCAAAGAAAGATAATTCATTGACTAGCGCTTCTTGAAAGAAACTAAGCGAAAAAGTGAGTCACAATTAGCAAATCACCCTCTGTAAATAATCGTGCGACTAAGACAAATTATTCGGTCCGAAGAAACTGCTGTTACAAGTTAGTAGCACGACAATATAATGGAGAACGGCACGGAAGAAGAAGTAAGGACGAAAAATTACTGTACAGAATTAATACTAGAACATTAATGATGACTAAAGGAACGAAACGAATAAAAATTGATGAAATCTAAAGTCGAGGCGACCTTTCACATTCAGAACGCATGAATTGTAAAAAGAAGAAAATTTTCCTTCAAAAATAAAACAAAAGACAGACGAAAACTTCGTGTTTTTATTTAAAAATTACAAATTTGCATATAAAAATCAAAGTACACTTCACCTACGTCGAAGTAGACTTTGATCCAGAAAGTCGTCCGATAAATCTATTCATCTATAGTGTACTTCTGTATACCGTATGTTCAGCCGAATAAATTAGTTGTAGAATACATTTGTCAAAACTTTACTTGGAGTCTATTTACGTTTAATAACAAAAGAAGACAGATATTTACTCAATTGTGCGGCATCTTTCCTCTTTCTCTACGCATTATACATTCTGATTTATTCGTATTTTTCTTTTTGTTCGTATAGGATAATAAACAGGAATGTTTTAAAAATTCATCATTCGATATTAAAGTAGACAAATTTCATCGTAAGGATTCTATACCTTACGAAAATCGCAATATTGTCCTTATCTCCAATATAAAAGTTTGCAAAAACGAACAAAACCATCTTTCTACGTCACGATTTATCCAATTATACACTTGATAGAGTGCAGTACGCTTTTACGTCGATTTGACGTCATTTTTACTTTTTCTAATAAGAAAACATTAAACTGACTTCAAATTGACGTAAGTGTGTATACTATTGTGACTATTAATATAAGAGCGAAGTATTAAAACAGACAGATCTCTCATATGATGCGTGGTACCTACAAAACAATATTTTGTTTTATTCGTTAATAAATTTATGGATTATTACTATTTTCACCGCTTTTACCTCTTTTCCGTTCAATTTCTTACAAAGATTCTCTTTTATTTGGAAGGATTATCCATCCCACATCCGGCTATTTATACTTTTGACACGTAGCATTTGTAATATTCACCGCCCGATCTATGGTGTTTTTACTTATTACGAAAGCTTTTACGTGGATGATGCGAAGTAAGGGATATTTTTCATCCTAATACGATACGATATACACATTTTAAACTAAGAATTATTGAAAATTCTTAACTAGAAATTCTCGCAACCTCCCGCAATTTGGAAATGTGACTAACATCCAAACGCGGGAGTTTCTGTAGATCCTGGATATAACAACAAAGTCACGAAACAGTAAATAGTGCGTTTTTACGTGTCTTTGCGCTTCATCATTCTCTCGGTCGGCTATTCTCACAGTCCAGAAAATGTGCTGGACGGCAAATATTCTCTTAATTAAGCAATTTTCTTTAATCAAAACTTTCTCGGATTCGTTAAATCTTCGTTTATCATTTATAGTTTCTAAAAATATTACCCAAACAACTTTACGAGTTTGCGAACTTGGCGAATGCGTCATCGTAATGCATCCTTCTCTTTATTAATCATTTTCTAAAAGAATAAGATTTGTACTTTGAATTTCGAGTGAGAAATCATTCATTATTGTTTTCTACCGACTGGAATAACGAAAACTACTTCCGACGGAGTGACTTCAAACGGGAGGAAAATTACAAAATAATTAATATTTAGTAATTTATTATTCTGGAATTTATGAAAGAATATATTGTAAGAAAAATAATTATCATCTTACACTCTGCCGAAAATTTATAAACCAAAAGCAGCTATCTTTTGTTCGCAAATTAAAAGAGAGCGGCTCATATCACAATTTTAAAACTTAGTAATATTGAAAAGTGAAAAATATATCATTACGTCATACAATTACGATACAACAAGGCGCTTTTCCTAGCAACGAGAACGAAAGAAAATGAACTTTTCAGTAAAATTATTCGGAGCAACTTCGATATTCCATTTCCAAGGAGGGAGGCGAAGATATAGTGAAAGATGTAGATAAAGCGACAGAGAGTGTGATTTTGCATTCGTCTGCGGCTTAGAATTTTTACGATACCGACAAAGAGATGCGTGGTCACCCTTTATAACGTCGATAAAAGTATTTTTATTTGCTCGATTCATCGTCTTTAGGCACGATACATAAAATACTTTTTTCGCCGATTTCAAATCGAAGCTCTTATTTACAAATGCAGATTTTTGTCGATTAAAACGTTACTTTTACTTCTAGAATTTACAAGTAAAAGTAACGTTAGAAACTGCAAGAAGAAGAAGAAGAAGAAAGCTTCCCACTTCAAATATTTACCTTTCTGCAACGATTCATTTTGATAATTCTGTCCTTCAACAAGTCGAATAAANAGGCGAAGATATAGTGAAAGATGTAGATAAAGCGACAGAGAGTGTGATTTTGCATTCGTCTGCGGCTTAGAATTTTTACGATACCGACAAAGAGATGCGTGGTCACCCTTTATAACGTCGATAAAAGTATTTTTATTTGCTCGATTCATCGTCTTTAGGCACGATACATAAAATACTTTTTTCGCCGATTTCAAATCGAAGCTCTTATTTACAAATGCAGATTTTTGTCGATTAAAACCTTACTTTTACTCCTAGAATTTACAAGTAAAAGTAACAAAAGAAACTGCGAGAAGAAGAAGAAGAAGAAAGCTTCCCACTTCAAATATTTACCTTTCTGCAACGATTCATTTTGATAATTCTGTCCTTCAACAAGTCGAATAAAGTTCTTTATTTACCATAATTTTTCTTTTCGTCCTTCTCCTTCGATATTAAACTTCTAATTAAAGTAGCTACAATACTTTTAATATTTTATGATTAATGAATACGAACAATTTAGATCCACTCGCAAAATATTAGATGTGGGTAAAGAGCAATAGAAAATACTTGCTGCAGAAGTCTTTCAGATATGAAGCCCAAAATAAAGATGTTCGGTTCTTACCTTTACATTCTTTGAATACAAATTCTTTCTCTAATTTTACAAACACAGTTAACGGATAATTGACTTTTCTTAACGGCGTATGACACATTAAAATGAATAGCAAATTAGTTCAAGCGCCATTTTCCTGTCCTCTTTCTCCGACTTAAAATATCTATTTATCTTGTTATTAAACTTTTAAAAATATACATAGGCCTATATATAAATAATATTAAATTACAATTTATAGTCTGCATTCAAATACCATTAATTTGCTTGAAACCAGTGCAAACCAATAAAAAAGTATGCAAATTTCGGGGAATAGAAGCGCTTAAACGTTGTAGTTTTTACACAATTAGCAATAAAATCTTGGGTGAGATTTTTCTAATTGGTTAAACTTGAACGCTTTTACTGATCGGTAGTTATTTAGATTAAACACTCTTTAATTAGGATCTCTTCTCTTTAATCTTAGTAGAGTAAGGAGAATTCGTTATTTGAAACTAACTAAATATCAACAGGCTCGAGTAGCACTTCTGTAAGCACTAACAAAAGGTAATTTGATAGGGAATATCGCCTATATAGTTTGAATAAATCGGTTTTCCTTCACTCGCAGGGGACGAAGGACATATTTTGTAGAAAACATTTTTCGGTTTTCGGAAACTACTATATCACTAAGACTCGTAACTGGTATTATCAGTCATACAACAGCACGACCGATAATGTCCATCATTCTTTCAGAAGTGATTGATCATCACTGTAATGCCCACGGTCCGAAGAAATTTGGTGTGTAGATAATTACTTTGTATAAACTGCATTGGTCAATTGTTGAATAAGATCTTCCGCAAATTAACTTAATACAGAATATAATCGTTAGAACACAATTAATTCTTATTTAAAGTTATATTCGTTAGAAGAATATCAATTCGCTCGAAAACACGGTAGCTATACGAGTTGTTTGACCCTAACATAGAATAAGGTGTAGCGTAATGTATTTCAATTTTATATTGTCTAAACTGGCAAAAATAAAAGAAAATTTATTTCTGTTTGTGTATAACAAACGAAATTGGAAATTTTTGATAGAAAATAGTTTTCTAAAAAATTTATGTCGACACAAAAATAAATCGTTCCCATGGCGCTTCAATTTAAAATTCGTTTACATTTATTGTAATGCAGTTATGACGAAATTTATGCGAAGTTTCATCTCTAGATTCTTAAATAGAATTCCAGAATAGAAAGAGGAACGAGTCATTTGAATTGCGATGAATATAAAATGGAGTGTATTAAACGACACCCAACTCTTGAGTAGCCTATACCGAAACTTATTATTATGCAAAAATTCTCTCAAAATAAGTCTCATAAATAGGAAAGTTTTTAATTACTCTCGAACATCTTATGGAATGTTTAAACGTGTGTTTCGATTCTTCCGAATTCTCTTCATTAATACGGAATTTGCACGGCGAGAAGGCTTTGGTTTAGAACAAAGCGCGAGGTAAAACGTCACGAAATAGAAGCTCTCGGACAAAAGTTTCGGAAAAAAGATTTTATTTGTCAACAGAGAATAAATTATTTGGCTTTTAGAGAATCGTCGATAAAAATCGGAAAACGTTAGCGTTAGACGAAGGCAGAAAGTCAGACGAAGAGGCGAATGGCAACAATAAACACCGGCAATCTCTACGCTACTAACAAGGAAGTTACGGACCGCTTTTAGCAGCCGACCAAAGGTAATTTACAAAGTGTCTCTATCGATATTTTCGGTCCTTTTTATGACCGGAGAATGAAGTTTTCGGGAAGAGAAGTGAAAGATTAATAGCAAAATACATTTGTACGGCGGGTGGGAGGGGTCGATTTCCCCTCTTTGCCACCGGAAGACGCCAACGTCGCGTCGTCGGTTCGATTCTAGACACGTTTATTGTAGGAACGGCCGGAACCATTGGTCTGCCCGAAGAAGGATAGAACGAATCTTAATAGCACCTTTCCGAAGGTACGACCCGGGCGGATACTTCGGGCCTCGGACGAAGAACCCGACCCGTCGAGTCGTGAGATTTTCGAAAATCGAAGGTCCGAACCCCGTCCGGTGTTTCGGATGAGTTCTAAACGGTGTTGAGGTAGACGGACCAGTAGATGACGTTGAAGATTAGGAAGGTGGCGGGGAAAGCCACGCGCGACACCTTGTCTATGAGCAGAGCTGTCCTCTGGTTTCGGTTGTCGTTCGACTGCCTCCTGTCTGGCTTTATCCCATTGGGAATTCGAGATTGCTATAAGAAATAATAGATGAAAAGAAATTAAAAATTTCGATACGTTAACAATTAAATCGATTATAATCGCGTTAATTCAAAGGATAGAGAATGTCGTAATAAATGTCTAAAACTGACGAATTTACTCGAATTTTCGGTTCTTTGAATATCTCCGAACGATGACGACCTCGAGGAAGAGTTAAACACCTCAACCGATAAATTACCATGCTTAACAGAAATTCTCCATCACAAGAATAAAAGCTAAATTGATTTTTTTAATTGAATGTAGTTTTAGTAGATAAAAGACACTCACCATGTCTTGTATTTGCACGTGCTTATCGTTAAGAATGTTGATCAGCGCGTACTCCATGAGGGCGGAGAAGATGAAGACCGTGCAAGACGACATAAAAATATCGATGGCCTTGATATAAGATACGGGAGGCAAAGACTTTTGGGATTGGGCGTGTTGGGTGGAGAGAGTCAACAGACTGGTTACGCACAGAGTGATGCGGGCGGGGACGGCGTCCGGTTTGATCCAGAAGGATATCCAGGACATAATGACTATGAGACAAGTAGGAATGTACGTATGGAAGAGGTAATAGCCCAGGCGACGTTTCAGAGTAAAGGTCACTTCGATACAGGTGAAATTCCCTGTAGAGAATCCCAAAGGATTTAGAAGAGATTAACGAAGACGGACACGCGGGAGCAAAAGTTACCGGTGGAATAGACTTGGGTGCAGTATCCCAGAGAAGAATCTACCAGGTAGTGCTGAGGCAGTTCGATGAATTCGTCTACCACCAGCGGAGATTCCAGCTCCCAGTCGAATATCAAGTCGTCGGTAGTGTATGAAACTGTGGGAAGTGAACAGATCCTTTATAATTTAGACGACGTCGGTTATCGCGAGAGAAGATACTCACTACTTTCGATCTTCATAGAACAAGTTTGAGTGTCGTGAGGATAAGATTCGAACTTCATAGCGCACGAGAGCAGCAGAGTCAGTCTGAAATGATAAACCAAGCGAATTTATAAAGTAAAAGTCGTAAAATTAATGTATTGTTTATTTCTAATAAGTTAAGTCAATGGTCGCGTCGAGATAAGTTTTTCTTTTTGCACATGCTTCAGACATTGTCTCGAGATCAGCAGGAATATTGTTTTTTAATCTTCGTTTATATTATTCCAAGATAGAAAGAAAACGAATGAAGTAATAAATGAATCGGTTAAGTAAATCTTTAAATAAGAATCCAAGGAAATACAGTAGTTTTTATACGTAATATTGGATAACGTGCAGAATAACATTCAATATTAGAGAGTATGAATCATCGAATTTCAAGCAACTGTATTTTCGGCAATAATTCAGATATAATAATAAGTAATATGTTAAAAGAACTAGAAAATGTCTAAGTTTGTGTTATGGAACTACAGATGATCTATCGGTAACAGGACACGTGTCCAAGCGCCCAGTTCGCCCCACGCGTTGTTTCCCTGAATGACCATCCAGGGAAACACCATTATTAACATTTGGGAAACCAGATGTTGATAATGGTGTTTTACATAAGCCGTACCTCGACATAAAAATTCGTAGATGTGAGGTCCGGGGCTCTAGGAGTCATATGTACGGCGCTACTGCAACGCCCAACCCAGCAGCGTGAGAGTTCTGCGTTTGGGTACGGATGCTCCTCGAAAGCATTTCCGATGTCCTCTATTACATAGCCACAATTTTGATAGTGAACTTCGTGTTGACACGAAGCACTGAAGAAAATCTACACACGTCTTTCAAATTTGGAGAGTTTCTTTTTTTGCTTCGTGTCTGGCTCGGACGACCTGGCTCGATACTCTGGAAGTTACAGGACTTTAAAACCCGATGATTCATTTGTAATAACCTGTATACTATTAGACGATTTTAAGATCTATTGACGTCATCGTGGCCGCGGTGACTTCATTTAGGCTATAATAATAATAATTGGGTGGGAGAATAATAGAATTTACGAAAAGTCATTTCGCCGAAGAAATGATCCCACACATAGACCATTGTTAATATTTTGGTTTACTTAGCCTAAATCGCCCGGTCCATCCGATGGTCCAGTTGCGAATAGGGCCTATATAAAAACTGGAAATGTAGAAAAATAACCGAATATAGCGTAAACTAAAACAAAGCAATTTTGTGGATAAGGGAAGTCGTTTCCTAGAGGTTTTAAGGAGATATTGCGTGCGATCTTACGAAGCATGTTATAAATTGCCGAAAGAAGTTTTACGAATCCTATGAATCGTGTAATATAAATATTCCCGTATTACACCGAAAGTATCTCCGTAGAATGTATGACCCTAATGGAATTTTCCCAAGTGGAGTTTTTCCATGGTTCTTGCAAAAGCTTATGAAATGTTCCGTGCTTTTAATTCCCGCGGATAAAAATCGTGTGGGCTTTAAAAAATAAACTCGTGGTTCCTAAATGCTTGTTCGAAATTCAAAACTAACTTTTCGACATTTGTCAAATTACTATTTCCATAAATCTCATTGAAATCTTCTTCAAAATTGTTCAACACCAACTACCGAAGAAATCGAATCGCACAAGTTTCTTTAGCTGTATTTAGAAATTTCGGATGTGAGAATTGAATTCCTAACCAAAACGTGTTCGAAAGACCAGAAAGGTAAACTTACAGACGTTAATCTACTAGAAATTTTAAGAAAGTTTAATAATTACCGATACGTAAAAGTCATGTAGCCTCCGTGCCACGACGACGACTTTTCTGGGGTGAATTATCAGACAGGGTCCGAATTAGGTTAAGAAGGGACTCCACATCGCCCTGAAACGGTAAAAAAAAAATACAAAAATTTTCTTTCAATCGTTTTTCATCGGCGTCTTCTTTGAAATCCAATCGCGAGATCATAATTTTAAATATTCAAGCATCACCTTAACTGATTTAGTTAGAAAAACATATCTAACATATAAGCTGTCTCAGATGAATGTCTATGCAAAGGGAGTAACAAAAATTGTCAACGTGTAAAAACATCATATGTGAGACTTTGCAAAGCGCCAGATTTTATTTATCAGTCTTTTAAATAACGTATCGAGATTACATCAAGATGATGATGCATTCGCAAAAAGATACTATACATTTCATTGAATATTGAAAAAAAACTACTTTTACTTCCTTTTCGTTCGAATTCATCAAGTTACGGTCTCTGAAACAAGAAAGGGAGGAATGGCTCGTTCGGTAATCGAATCCGGACCCTCCTGATATAAGAGCAACATTCACTATTTAGGGAATTGTGAGTAATTGGCGAAGTTTCGCACGTTTCAAATAGGATCGAATTACATTTTTAGACCCGAGAAATTATTAAGTCGCTAATTTTTAATAGTCAAAATATGAATGACACGTAATACATCATTACGAAAATAAATTTTCGGAAGTATCGAAGTGGATTTTCTATTAGAAATTGCCAAACGAGACTTAAATCTAGGATTTGCATCGACTTATTTTTGTCGTCGATGTTCATTTCCAGGCGATGTCGATTCCGAAACTTAAACTAAATCAAATAGAAGAAAAAAGAATACTCACTTGACCATATAAAGAATGGAGTTGTCACTATAGAGCCAAATGTAATGATTGGGAATAGTCATCTCTTGGAAGACGACGCTCTTGGCATTCTTGAAAAACGAATCGGGTCTCCACATTCTGGACAACCAACTGACTGGCAACAGACGGTACTTGGCCGTGGAATTGTTAGGCAGGCGAAGACGATGATCCTTCCAACTCTGCGACATAAAAATGTCCGCCACGTACGTCTGTTAGGATTTGTACGCACATTAATATACGCCATCGTTTATAAAAGTTTTGTAGCAGACCTCGCCTCTTACGTGTAGTTTGTAAAGTCTTCGTTCTATTCGAGAACACCCGAATATTCTGAAAATTGTATGCGAGAGGTTTTATCCTAACAGAGAGAAATTGTCATATTAAAGAGGTTGCGGCCGACGTTTTCATCGGGAAAACGTATACCTCGGACGTTCAGCGCCGCATTCCTGTAAGACTAGAAGTTTGACAATGGTGTTTGGATAGTCAGTGGAATCATGCTCGATGTCCTAAACACCACTGCCAAACTTTTAGGCCTTTAGGAAAGCGGCGCTGAACGTCCGACGTACACGTTTTTGCGCTGAAAACGTCGGCCGCAACCTCTCTATTAAGTTCGGACGACGGAGAGAAACGGAGCGATTTTCTTCACCGGCTTTATGGATGACGAGCGAATGGAAAGTAGAAGCGCAAATTGGAAGTATCTTTTGCATTTACGATGTTTTAGAAATACAAACATTTAAAAATTATATTATCACGTATCTAAGTAAGTTTTTAAAAGTAATATCAATCCGAGAAAGTTTTTTCGGTGCATCTCTACCTGGGATCAGCTTAAGTAGGGCGAATCCTTAAAGTTCAGACTTTAAACGTTAGACAAACATAAAAGAGAAACTTTTAATATAACTTAAAGCAAGAGCATACAGTCCGTTTCGTTATCGACTTAGACTACACATCGATATAATGAATGTGTACAGTCCCTTCCAAAAAGACTTTTCATTATCGGAAATAGCCTGATTTCTTTACAACACTCTAAAACAGTTCATTTACTCATTTATATTATCGTAGACTCGATTATATAGCGAAAATAACCATTGACTTGTGACGCGAGCGTATACCATACTACGTATTCTACGTTGTTGTTCACGTCACAAGTGAAATTCGAGAAAATCCGGATTGCATCTCGTTTCGAGAGGGCATAAAAATAGCATCTGAGGAATAAAATGTTATCGAGAAAGCTTTAATCCGTTGTAGCGGAAATTGCTTTTTAAATTGTACGCAACGGTAGGAAGGTAAAGAAGAAATTTCTTCTAGAAAGTACTGTACCTCTTTCTGTTCCTTCAAATCGTTTCGAGAGTACGCCCTTGAAACAAGTATAAAAAAGTTTAAAAAGCCAGAAATAAAATACGAAAAATAGTAGCGATGATATACTTCATAATTGTATAGAAACTTGCCAAATAAAATCGGTTGTAGGAGGCGAGACGTCCAATTTAGAAAGCGAGTTAGAAATTTCAGAGAGTAAATATAAAATTACATTAATTGGCGATAAGAAAAAAAATGAGAAATGTGAGTAAACCAATTAAAGGGGCTCTTACGCTGAAGGTAAACAAAGCATTATTATTTTTTTTATCGCAAATCATAGGAACTTTGGAAGCGTTATTTAACTTAAAACGTGTTACAGTAAACTAAAAATACTTTTTAAATGGATAGAAAAGTTATTAACAGTTTGACAGTATTAATTATTTTGTTATAATTTTTACGTCCCATAAAACTTAAACCATTGAATTCACAAGAATGACAAAATTAATTTAAAAAATCAGTTGGATTTTTATATAACATATCGAGACAATACTCGGTGTTATCTTTATTCCTTTATGTTTATGATTCCCCGCCGTTCAAGAGTTGTGTAAGTCTTTTTGGAACCGACTGTACACAATACGAATAACGCGTAGATAAAATATTAAATAATTACACCCGAAGTAACGGAGAACCTTAGTTATTTTTATTATTATACGAAATATAATATAATTTTGGGTCTATCGGAGGAAGAGCAACTAAAGCTAGAATCTCCCTATGAAACAGACAGAAGAAGAAGAAGAATATAATTTTGGGCGCAACGTGGAGTAAAATACGAAAAATTTCCTGTTTTTAACTACGTGGGATGCGGAAAATACTATTTCATTTTAAACTAATAGCGATGAAAGAGGTGGATAGTCTATTTTTATCAGTTATAATATTTAACTGACAAAATGAAAATTTGCATGTAGAAGGGATGTATATAGAGAAGAGATATAACTATCGGGAGACGACGTAACCAAATTGTTCTCTTCTACGACAGAAAGTTTAAAAAGCGCATCATTAGAAAACAATATAATACATCATTCGTATACAATAGATTTAAATCGGGAATTTTCAATACGGGTGATGGATGGGTCGAATCTTTCGAAGACGAGAAAATACAACCATTAAGTACGGAAGGTATTCGCATTAGTAAAAGCAGTTCCAGGGAGAATGATAAATGGCGCAAGTACGGGAAACTAAAGGCACACAATAATTGGATTTTGAACGTACAGACGTTTTCTTATCTGAAAACTCGATTGATAAAATCGTGTTAAGCGGAAGCTGGCAAACCTCAAACGATCGCGTGCGAAGATTCTGGTTTGAAAAATCTTTTACAATTGAAAAAGCGTTTTATTTGCAAAAATGGTGACGAATAATCTCTTAATAAACATTTCGGTCCATAAACATTCGAACAATGTAAATATTTATAAAAATAATGTTTAAATATGCGTGAATAGCTTACAGAAAATTACTGGAAGCACCGGTATTTTCGCTGTTAAGTGCGCTGCGGTGTCACGAAAAGAAATAAGAGGCGTAAATACTTATGAAACGAAACTGTTAATAGAAAAATTACAAAGTACAGTACGTACGCAACTTTCTACTCTCATAAACAAGGTTATACCTATGCATAATTTTAAAAAAAATGTATTATTACATAATAAAAAAGACTGACAAAAGGACGCAAGAGAAGAACAGTATTGTCTCATTGCAACTTTTAATTAAGAGACGAAAATACAATTAATTCGATTGGATAATTACTCTGAAATACGGCAAAAACGTTTATTAATTATATAATGTCTCTGTTTTTTTATATTTTTTCTAATTTTAAAAATTCGGTGACTTTAAATCAAATCATAGGAAATATTTCTTGATGTCAGATATCACCGAGAGATCTCGCTATATATCATTCTAATTTAATACTGAATAATGTTTCTCCTAATAAATATAAAATATTGTATTTTCAATGTATTATATTTCCCGTCTCGCAGGTTATACATCACCGATAGATATCATCGACACTTGTAGTGTTCTGGAAAATTACATAAAATCATATATTTTAGCTATAAATCGTTCTCTTCCTAGGAAAAGATGAAAAATCGCCCGGTCCGATAACTCTTACTCGAAAGGAGGCGAGATCTAACAATGAGAAAATAAAACGAAAACAAAGGAGGACTTACCATGGATCCTTCGTCGATAGAGTCCAGGCTGAGAACGGTGACGTGGAACCTGACCACGGTGGCCTTTCCTACGAGAGAAATGACACTCAATTGGTAATCGAGTTGGTTCCTTAATTAAAGGAAGACGGTTTGTTGTCATCATAAATCTTCCCCCGCATCCTTCTTCTTTCTCTCTCACTTCTCGACCCAATAAGAGTGGCAAGAAAATCCTGTCTCGACCGATAAATGCACGTATCTATTCTTCGTTTTTTGTATTATATAAACGACATAATTTTTATTTGTCGAGAAGAGTAAACTAAATTGAAAGCGGATTTTAAAGATTTTATGTTGGTTTCATTTGATTGGGGAAGCAGAAATAATCGGATAGAATTTACAAAGTCACAACGTAGTGATACGTAAATATAAATTGTGACCGGATGTGTTTCGTCGTAATATGTTTTATCTGGATGAAAAATGGGTGCAACGTCCTCATTAAATGTACTGTACCGCGAGTATTGCGCGGCTCGTATTTTACATCCACGAAACGCGTTTAAATTAACTAAATAAGAATAATTACACGCATTTTAAGTAATTTTAGTTTTCGAGACGTCAAAAATATGATTGAGAATAAACATATTTACTCGCTTTATCTTACAATTACCAAGTCGAAAAAGTTCGCAATCGACACACACGCGTGGCAAAACTCGTCCCTTAACTATAGAAATCGAATTATCTGTTAATTCTTTCCTAAATGGTATCGTAGAACGGATTAGAAATCAGTAGTTTGCAAGATGAGCATTCGGGTGTTATCCCAAAGTAATCTTCTTATATAAAGACTCTTCTTATATCGTCAATCGTTAAAGGCGTTACTTTTAATTACTTTCATTAACAACGGATTAATATATCTATTCGTTTTCATTGCCGTGTGCGTGCTTTATCAGTCCTTATAAGAAAGAAAGGAGAACTCACCGTCTTCTTTGGGAGGTTGCAGGTTATCATAGGAGGCGGGATCGTCGGGGAGGATGCTTTCGAATTCCAGGCCCTCCTGACTGAAAACAGCTAAAAGTTAGAGGGACAGGTGAAAAATCATATTTAGTGGCGTGTGGCTCACCTGCTCAGTCCTATCCACGTCATCCACAGCACCAACCAGCCGGATGGCATCTGCAATACAGGGAAAAAATGAAAAGAACTTTTGGTGACGTCGAAGGAATTCTCAATGATTCACAAGAGGATATATCGAATGATAAAGACAGTGTGAAGAAAGAAAACTAAATAAACTCTGAGCACGGGTTGTTTTAATAACTATAAATATTGAAGTAATAATAAAAATTGAGTAATTGCATTATACTACGAACTTCTCAATTGCAAATTTCAGATGTTTCGTATTATTCATCAAAATTACCAATCACTTCTGTGTTTTTATCATTTTTTTCCTTTTTTCATTAATTATTATTAATAATTATCTTAATTTACTTTTGTTGTAATTTTCTACTTAATTTTTAAATTAATTGTTTGACTATTTACAAATTTAATTAACTGTTATACAGATTTACCAACGGTCATCCGGGATGTTTAATATTTCATTTATAAATTTTATCGATTAATTTTTTAATATATTTTTTCCGAGTTGTTCGTCACTCATATTTATCAATTGACAACCCAAAATATTGCATACAAAGCAGTGGCGTAACTATAATTTTGAGTCTCCATTGAAGAAAAGTTGGAGCCTCACCGATGTAAGGAATACCGAGTCTTTTTTATATCATAAAAACACGTAAATACATAATAAAATAAACAATTACAGTCTGATAGACTTCTCTCGATTGATAAATGAATTGGGTAAAATACGACGACGGGAGAAACTAAACTTTCGTTATAGACAAGCGGAAAGAACCTGTAGAAAAGAAAATACTTTTTAGCTTTCTGGAATTTTTATAGCGAAATAAATGATTCGAGGTGAAACAGCGGTGGAGAAGAGAGTCGTTAAATCAAAAAAACTGAGTGGAAACGACACGCGACGACTTTGAGAACCACTTTATGCCCTTCATAAACGGCCAACGTACCAAATAAAATTTTATGGACAAACAATTTTCACTGTTTTACAAAGGCGATAAAACTGATTTTTAGTCTATTTTGTATCTTTCTCTTTAAAAATATAAGAAAAATAAACTCCTGGTTGGATTAATTACACAAATTACACGCGAGATTTTCTATTATAACAGTTTTATTACCAACACAATACGGATAAAAAGAAAACAAAAGTTATTTTAATTAATAATATACTTGGCTTAAAATCTAGAAAACAAAACCCGCAGACAAAACATCTCGGCTCTCATCACTCCTCTTTAGTAAGTTTCCTACGCTTCAGAAAGCGAGTAACGTATTCGGCAATCGTTCCAACTCTATTAATCATTGCCACGTCGAAGCACAGAATATGATCTCATATCCTCCATTTTGACCGTAAACATCCGTCTACGTCTTATTTGGGAACAGAATCACGTGACGGATACGGACTCTTCCACTCGATAAAATTAAGAACTAAGAGAAAATATCAATAATTTAAGTTATTAAATTATCACTGGATAACAACTAAGAAAAAAAAATTACGTATTCCGAATCTATTTCTTTAGCCATTAAGAGTAAAAGCGCTAAAAATATTAAAGCTACCAACAGATTCTTCACTTAAATAAATGAAAATTCGCAAATAGAGAAATTCTTTTACAAATTCTACATTGGGTTTACAATTGACAAATGCAATTAAATCCGAAGATTTCGCAAAGAAGAGTAAAACTTAATTTTTCTAGCGGCGCCTTAAGTGGAAGGAAATAGCCGAGTTGTTATTTTAGTGGCACAAAAGTGAAATATTTCATTTTAATACAATAAAAAAGAATATTTTCTGATGAAAATGTAAAAAATTCATGATTAAAGTCTCTTAGAATAAAAGAGAAAAAATTTGGAAAAAAGTAAATAAGTTAACAAGAAAAGAAGGAGCGAAGTGGAAGCATCCATCAGGTCCTTTATTAGGACAGAAGAAATCTCTCCATAAACAGCGATCCATTGCCAGTAGATGCAAATTTTAAAAACGTTTAAAACTCGCATTAACATCTCCTCCATCCTCATCGGAGGGAGGAGAAGAATTTAATTTCATTTTGGAATATCAAAAATTCGTCATCTTTCGCTACATTAAAAATGCGTTTGGGAATTATTAAAAAATTTATACCTAATAGTGTTATTGCAGCTTCTATTTTCCTGAATAAGTAAAGGTATTTTTAGATATTCGATAATGGTGTAAAAACCGAGAAGATGGTTTCTAAATTAACTTTTTTTTTTGTTATTATTCTGGTACTTGCTGCAAATAAACGGAAAAAATGTCTTTTGTTTATTTTTTAAAATTGATTCTAAAAGTGTGGAAATTGCCAAAACCGATTTTAAGAACGTGTCATTTTAAACGAGTCGTCCGTATCTTTATCGAAAAATGATAAATTAAAAATCGAAAGTGTGTCGCATCTCATGCGAAAGTACTTCAATTCCGTCTTCGAGAGTGAAGAATATTTTTACTTCGTCGTCCGAATAAACAGATTAAACGGTTTATTTTGTAAAGTTTCAGAATTTATGCAAAATAAAGCCATAATTCGTACCAACTTCCGACTGGCGTAATCCTCTGTTAATTTCTGTTTACTGTGAACAATCGTAAATTATAACTAAGAATGCGTGAAAATAATAACAATTTTACCACACTATCCGTAACGGTTACTCGTTTTATAATGTAAAAAGTGGACGGTGGAGAAGAACCGAATAACCGACAAAGAACGACGGAAAGTAATTTTGGATGTTTCTTGGCTTCGATCTAGAGACGAGGTATATTCGAAAATTAAGCGATTTATTCCGGAAAGTTACCTGGAAAATGATCTTACACTAAATGATTTTATAATGTATACAACGATTAACTATATTCTGGACAATCCCGTATATCTCTTTTTATTCTTTACGGCAGATTTTAAAGTCCGGGCGTATTCGGCTTAGATTTTTTTAAATTTACTTAAATATTTCATATTATTATAATAATTAATTAAAGTATTTAAATATTCAAAATATAAATACATAATTCTGTAACAAAAGAAAATAAATAAAATTCGATAAAATTACGAATTAAGTCTCATCAGATTTTCCAGTATTATCAATAATTAAATTACTGAAGATAACAACAGAGTGATCGAGATAGACTTATCGAAAAAAATATATCTGAAAATTTACGCATGGTTTACAAATTAGCGATTAGGTTCTGCAGGGACTTAACTAGTTTAAAACATGTACGGAAAGAGGATAAAGTTTACACGTTCCGCTACTAATTAATGGCAAGAACGTGTTAATCGATACGAGTATCGAACGAAAAGTTCGCACCTCGTCCAATATAAAAACACCAGAAAAGAAGAATTAGAGGAGAAAAAAATGACACGGGCAAATTGTTACGTCACCAAACGACGTGGTCAAGAGTTAAAACGGTCGGAATTCGGAAAATACGAGAGCACGTGACTTATCTAATTAATCAATTCGAAACAAAGCCGACGAGCAAATTACCAAAGACCAGCCATAAACATTCGGGACGAAAAGGTCCTCTGGCAGATCTTCAAATGAGAGAAACTCCGATTTCACTCCGATTGCCATAAATTACAATTAATTGTAAAATATGGCGCCAAAGACCGGTGTAGCGGAAGACACCTCTATGCATTTTGACGTCATCGTAAGAGATTTCCCTTTCGATTACGACTCCATTTAAATAATATCACGTATTCCGACTTATTAATTATTAAATTAGGTTACGGAATTTATCCGAATGGTCAATTACCGAGTACGTTCGGTAAAATAAATATTTTAGGGTAGGATAATACAGAAAAGCCTCCTTTAAAGTAGGACGGAAAATTGAAATTAAACGTTAAATCGAAAGCATTTAATCGAAGGAATGGAAATTATATATTTTCGGTTTGTTTCCCTTTTAAATATAATCCGAGGAATTAAAGCGCTGTCGCTTCTTCCATTTCTCCGGGTCGACGGTCACTTAACGCTTTTTGTGGGGATTTTAGCATCTTTGACGGGATGGAGAATGTCGTTGCTGGTCGGAAATGGAGGCGAATAAAAGGAGTGGACGTAATACACCAGCCAAAGAATTTTTCCACTTTAAAGTGGAAGTTTTAGAGGTTTCGAGCTTCGATCGTTCTTCGGTTATAAGCAAATAATCGATTTTCTGAAAAGTCGTAATGCGTGTAAGATTACCATTATAAAAATGTACTAATTCGTCCTTGGGCCTAAATAGCTTTGGCACAAATACTTTTATCGAGTAATTATATTCAATATGCGGTCGGTCGTATTTGTAGTGGCGAAGAAATGCAGAAATGTGAGAGGACGTAATAAATTCCAAGGGCAAATAACGCGAAGGACCAGCCAATACGCGACTTACGCATTACCCTTTTTATACCAGACCGTAAAGAATCTTTATCAATGTTTTGTGCTTTACTACTGTAATGATACTCGTAAATCGTAATTTCCGTGTATTATCGAATGTAATGGCGATAACATAAACAACTGACAACATTGAAAGTACGCCTTTAAATTACAATATCGTACGGGGACGTATACCTAATACATTTACTTAATTTATTTTTATAATTGTAGTATATTTGTATTTTTAATGTAATTATTACCAATGAAATCTGGTAATAATGATAACCTCGACGGAAAAAGTAAATTAGCGTATATTTTTAGCATTGTAGACATTGTATATTGATACGCGTAACCGAGCTTTCAAAAAATGTTTTTGTTGCTAACTACAGAAATATTCAAGAAAATAATAATAAATTTCTGCCGAAACATTGCACAAAAAGAGCTAAGCGGTCGGTTTGGTGTCATCACCTTCGACGATGTCACCCGGTGCGGCCGCACCCCGTACACCTCTAATGATGCCACTGGATCGTCATCTACTGACGTCGTCTGCTACCGTTCCCGGGGCCTCATCTACAGTTTTTTCACCTTAATGCCCCGACTAAACTCCATCGAAGAAACCTTTGGCCAAATGGAAGGCGCCGTTACACAGCGGAAACTGTAACAGCCGAGTGGAACTTATGGATTCCTTTGCCCGTATGTGGTTGGCAGATAACCGCCTTCGA